CTAATTGTATCTTTGTTTTGATCTATAAACACGTTGTATACTTCACTTTGAATTCCTTCTTGTTTCCATCTGTGCATATAGAAAAATGATGCCTTTCTTGACAATGGTAGCAAGAACGTTTACTACATAAGTTGGATACTGCGTGGTTTATTGATGTACAGTTTAAGCATTGATGGTTTTCTTTAAGAAACTGTTTCCATTGCTGTGTTGAATGAAATTTTATACATTCACGGCTGCAATGATTTTGAAAAATGCAGTAGACACGTCTACTGCAGTTTTCAAATTATTTATGAGCTTGTAATGCAGAAAGTGTTTTTCTATTTGAAAAAAAATGTTTGGGTTGATTCTCGTTTTTGTTAATTAAGTTTTTATTTTACTCGGGGGAGCTCGTGAACCATCCTTTTTTTTTGAAATTTCTCTTTGTATAAGGTGTTTTTCCAATCAATTCAAAAGTTCGCTTTAATATTTTGTTGCTTAAACCAGTTGCCAATTTCTTCATTGAAGACATTTGAAGAAACCAGACAACTTTACTTTAATAGTTGGTTCCAACCTGCTTAATAAGTGTATATCGTTATTTTCCTATGATACGCGTACTTCCAGACTGAGTCGTTTAACTTTTGAAAATGCTAGTTCCAATTTCTGTGTAAGTGTAACCAAGGACGTATTAATGGATGGACGTTTAACCCATTGTTATAGATATGAGGAACCGCGAGTAAACAAAAACCCATGCGAGCAATAATTTTTAGAGCCATTTTTCTGAATAATTTATAAAAGTAAACCGACGTTTTTCCGATAATTTTCGCTTTTCTAACTACTTTTTTTAAAAAGTGTAATTACCTACAAAACTCTAACTTTTTTTTAAAAAATTAAGGGGGCTCACTCCCTTTAAAATTTTTTCGATAAATACCAAATGCATATGCTTTTTAGGGTATTCATTGGAAAGAACATAATAATAGTGATTAAAAAAATATATTTCCATTTTAAAATATTGACAGCTGTTGCCATGATTACTAATTCAAAATGGCGAAAATCATAAATTCTTGAAATTTGGAAAGATTCCCTTGGATGAGTAAAATATTTTTCAATGAAACTTTCTAACATTGTTTATTAACATTAGATGCATGCAATAAACCAAAAAAAATCAAAATATTAATTCGGGAAAGATATCTATTAAATTTTTAAAAAAATTCATTTAAATTTTTATATATTTTTAAGATAAAAACGAACTTTAAACAAAATAATTATAGACAAAACAAAAAATTTAAAGCGAACTTTTCGTTTATTGCATGAAACAATTTATTTTGGGTATTGTGTAAAAATTTTAGCTCAAAAGCTGTAATAGAACAAGAATTATCACATTTTCAAATTCTATTAAACTCAGAAAAAATGCAAATTGAGAAAATAAGCAAAACGTAAAACATTTTGTAAAAAGAGCTAGTGAGATGTTATCTTTTAGAGCTTTTTAATTCTAAGCTTAATAAAACTAATTTAAAGGGTGTTTTGATAATATAATGGAAATAATGTAAAACTAGTATAATGGAAAACTATACAACATCTACGTTATCTATAATTTTATATTTATAAACTATACCACAAGAAAAACTATAAAAATTTAAAAAACCGCTGTGTAACTAAAAATAAGGGAAAAATAAGGGGAAAAAAAAAGGAAACTTTCTTTAAAATTAACTATATCATAATCCTGCTTTGTAGATTTTTCCATCATTTTGCTTTTTCTTGTCATCTTTTTGTTTTTTCTGTCCTCTAATTTGACGTCGACGAAGAACATTTTTTAATTCACTATGTTTTATTGAACTTTTTATCCTTTTGCTATTTATTCTGTCACATCCAAGATTGGTAAAGAATCCTGGAACCATATTTAGTTTTTTAAAAAAATAATCACAGCTTTAGCTCAAATATTAAAGTTAGATAAAGCATTATAAATGCCTAAAGAAAGTTGGTGTAACCCTACTAATGTTGATTTGGGCAAACGTTCCTAAACCATATTATTAACATATCAATAATAAGGCTCTTCTTTTTTACCGATAATTATTTTATCCACATTATCCACAAAAGTAAAAATATCAATAAATTATTTATAAATAAACACAACAATCACTAAATAATCTGCTGAACATATTTTAACTTATAATAAAAAGTAAGCAACACATGTGAAGTGTATGTTATGTGGTCGTGTAGCAGTGTGCTTAACATGCTCAAAAAGAGGTATTCCAGACCTACATGGAACTACTTTGAAAAATTAACACTTCACAGAATGAATCATATAAGATTAAGATTTATGAAAAAGGTATTGTAGATAGATGGAAAAAATAAAATAAAATTGATGTTATGGGCGTTGCTAAAGAAATTCTTATATACTATGTTCAAATAAAAAAATAATAGACATACTTATGTTTTTTTTTTTATTTTTAAATCAGAATCAGATTCCTCATTAAATTTTATACTTTAAAAACAAAAAACCCAAAATTTCAAAAAAAATTTTTGTGCTGATTTGAAGGGGTTGAGCCCCCTAAATGCATTTTAGTTAATCAGAAATTGCTCATCTGTTTTAAAATGTCAAATTTGATACGTAAGCGCTTTTTAATAAGAACTTATTATTAATAAAAGTTAGACGTCAAAAATCATATTTTTGTTAAAAAGTGATATTTATTTTGCAAGAATGAATACTGCAAAGTGAAACTAATTTTCTAGATGTTGTAGGTAAAACTGTACATCATATATAGATCGAACTATAGATTACTGGTCTCTATTTTCCCTAGACTGTTTCCCTAGGTCTCTATTTTTATTTATTCCCTACACTCAGTTTTCACTGTTATTTTAAGTACTTACAATTTTGTTTTGATATTTTTCTGTGATTAATTTTTTTTTTCCTAATAAAGATTTCGCTTGAATTTATAGATCATATAATGAAAAGGTTTTATTTATTTAATAATTTTTTAAAGTTTTTAGGTGTTATGGAATGTTTAAATATTTCTTAGGCTAGGCGAGACTATCGTTATTTTAACGCAAAATCAAATAAAAATATTCTTAAGTTAAAATAGTTAACATTTGTTCTCTTCTCTGCGGATATCTTCGCTTTTAAACAATTAAACATCCATCCGTTCATACGTCGTTGGTGTAACTATAAGATCTCCGCGATGTTTTAAAGGCACTTCAATTTTGTTGTAGATTTTGTTTCTTTAGATTAGCTGATAACTTCTAGAGAAGATTCCAGTGTTCTAGCAGGTTCGCCAATTTGTATCAAGAATTAAAACTTTTTTTTGTTAATGTCAACTGGCTAAGTTAGATCAACTCTAACGCTAACATATAATTAATATAAACAACCCAATTTATACAAAAATTGGCAATTATCAGTAAATAAGAAAACATTACTAATTGCCACCTTGATACTGTAATAATTACTGTAATAAAAAAAAAAAAATTATTACGTGATATACATTGCATAACTATACAAAATTAAATGATATTTGTACTTTTAATGCTGATGACAAAAAAATCTTCAAGTTAAAAATTAAGAAGTAAAAGAAATCAAGGTGTTATAATAGTAGAAAATAAATAATTTAGAATTACAAACACAAGCTATAAATAAAAAAAAATTATGTTATAAATATAAAGATGCGTTGTAGTATTTCTGTTTGCCTCAAATATTTATCAAACATTTACTTGCAAGTATGTTTTTGTTTAGAACAAGTAATGATGTGAAAGCTCCCCAGTTTAGTGTAATTAGTACTTGCCCACTGTTTTCAAACAGTTTACAGAAATTAACAAATAATAATAATGGTTATTATTATTATAATTATTTAAGACAAATGTTATAATATATTATTAAATATAGCTTTATAATTATATAATATAATCAAGATTGCTTAAAAATTAATCAGTATTGTATTTAGGGAAGAGTGGTCTATAACGGGCTCTTAGGTGAGATGGGTCCCCATCAAATCTCTTGCTTAAACAAAAATTATTACAAATTTAACTGTGGAGTATTGTGCAGCAAAATATAAACATTTAAGAAAACCATCCGAAAATGAATGGAAATGAAAAATGTTTAAAAGTACTACTTTTGAAATTTAGATCCTAAGAAATTTTATTTATAGTTTGATTGAATTGTACTGAATTAATAAGTTTTTCCTATCAATCCTATATTTTAGATATAGGGTATAATGTCAAAAAAATAGAAAGGGAAAGTTGCAGTGACAGGCCTATATCATCAGCTATTGAAGCAGTAAGAAAGAAAGAAATGAGATTAAAAGAAGCAGTTCAATCTACCACAGAGTACTTCGCAATGAAGTGTAGACAAAATTTGAACTTTGTTTAAATCTCTTTGAAATTGCTTGGATTAGTAAAATAAGTGTTATTTATTTAAATGAAAAATGAGCTGGCAACTTGTATCAAGCAAATGAAAGCTATGGTTTTTTGTTTTAACACCTCAAGTTTTGCGTAAATTTGCCTACCACTTTGTTAAACTTAACAACCTCCATAAAAGGTAAAGTTAAAAAATTGAACAAGCTGGTGCTAATTGGTTTTGTGGATTTTGACTCAACACCTACAACTATCTGTAAGAATACCAAGTTCTGCTGCAATCAAGTCAGTATCTGAAATTTTTTGATTAATTGCAGGAAAAGCCTCACTTTTTTCTAAATCGAGTTTATAATTTTGATGAAACAGGCATTACTACTGTTATAAATAAGCCATTAAAAATGGTTGTTACACCTTTGATTTTCTGATGTCAAATTGTAGATAATAGATTGAACTTCCTGAAAAATACTTTTTTCGTAATTTTCGGTTGGTTACAGTTAGTTGATTCTATCATTTTTTGAAAAGGTGCCCGTTTTAAACCACTTTGCCGTTTTAAACCACTCTGCCTTTTTTTGTGTAATTTAGTTTTTTTTTAAGCTGAATAAAAAAAATTGTGAACTGCATAATAAATTTTTTAAGTAGTTTATAATAAATGGTTTAGAACTTTTATAGAGAAAACAAAATTCAATGTTTTATGTAATTTGCTCCAACAATTACATTTTTTTTCAATTATGTTTTAAAATAAAAACTACTAAACAAACTGCAAAGCAACAAAAACATCAAGGAGATGCTTGTTATCGTTAAATGCACTTGAGTGACAGGTCGCAATCTGAATCTTTTCTGCATTTTTGATTTGTAAGACATTTCTAAGTAAAAATAGTTTTAAATATCAATCAAAATATAAATTCTGTAACTTAACATTATTATATAAAAATGCTTCAAATGTTTAAAACCTACTGGATTTGCACTAGCATTTGGTTTATTAAAAAATATTTGATATAAAATTAAAAAAAACAACATAGTTTTAGCATTTATTTTGTTCTATGTATTATAAGCATGAAATAAAGTCGTACCTTGCCGTTCTTAATATTGCGACAAGTTCCTCCATATAGTGTAATACAGTGAACACTATTGCGATTTTCTGCTATATTTCCACGGTTATTGCGAGTGCGTAAATTATTCCTGTCTATATTAGTGATCACATTAGTAATAACATCAGTAACCACAGTTATTAAAATAATAAAGTAAAATAAAAATATTTTTGACATCATTTTACTTCAAATTTTCATTGATGTTATTTTTTTCTTTTTACTCTATATTTATAAGCAATATCAGCGATCTACTTAGACTTGTATCTTAATATCTTTATAATGCGTGTCTTTGAAGATAATCGAGATAAAAATAGTTGATACAACAAAATAAAATAGCCCATCAGATAGTGGATTAAACGTCTAGTCCTCGCTAAACTAGCTTTTTATATTAATAAGTATTTATATAAAGAAGTTTAAGTCTATGGGAGAGTTCAATTTTGTGTTTGCCAAAAAATTTATACATCTATAACTATAAATAAAAAATGTTACAAATAAAATTTATAATATTTTTTTGACATTTATAATGAGATATCATAAAGATCAAAACACTTTAATTTAAAATTTACATTTTGATTTTAACTTAAAACTTAATTAAATAATGACGGGATTTTTATTTGTTCCATAAACTATGATTTTCTAATTATATATTTGCAATTCCATATTAAGCTTTTCAAATTTAATCTTACATGTTTCATATAACATTACATATAACATCTTCGCATTTACTGTTAACAATCCTTAATTCTTATTTTTGTTTTACGAATAGTTTTTTTTATAGTCTAAACAGTCAAATAACTTGATTAGTCAGATTGAACTTATTTAGTCAGCTTGAATATAAAAGTTTTTAGTTATAGATGTCTGCTTAAATGAAAAAAAAGTTTTAGTACAAGTAATAAAAGGGAAAAGTTGACGATTTAGAAATGGCATCATTTGTAGTTATCTGCGTCTTTCGTTATGACTAAAAGTTTTTAAAGTAAAATCAGGAAAAAGTTCTAAAAAACCATTACAGCTTGTGATGGTTTCTTTTTCTCGTTTCTTGTTTTGTATTCGAATATAAACATTGAAATGAAACAGAATTGCATATTGTCGGGGATAGTGTAAAACCGCGTTACTAGCATTAGATAATACCGCGTATCTGCTTTACAGATTTTTAGTTTTTTTTTTTTTGTTTCTACAGATTTTGGGCTCATTTTTGTATAAAGAGTATTTTTTATGTGTTTTGTAATGTCAACAATAGATATTTGATATTAAAATTATTAATATCTAATTATCGTAGCCAATGCTAGTTACACGGTTTTGCATTACCCCCAATGATAAGTTTCGTAATGCATGCGTGCTCTTCAAAACGATGATAAAAGAAGTCTGATTTTAACAGATTAAAAATTTCAAGCATTCATTATATACACTGTCATGCCAAATTGTCTAATAAAACTCCCATGTCACGAAGCCCGATTTTTCACACAACATGAACAATTAAAGTTGACACGCGACTTTCAGATATTACGTTTAGCGTGACATTTATAATTATAGTCGTCACGCGACTTTTTAAATTTAAGTATGGCGTTACATTTAACTTTTTATTTGTCACTAGACATCTAAAATACTATCGTGTCGCATGTCACCCAGCCCGATTTTTCACGCCACGTTTAGAGAAATTAAATGTGGCGTGAAAAATCGGTCTCGGTGACATGCGACAAGATAGTGATTTAGATGTGCTGTGACAAATAAAAAATTTATAAGTCACCCCATAAATAAACATAATTAATAAGAAGACCTAAAAAACGATAAAAATTAATTTTTTTTTGTTTTCGGAAAACGCCATCAAATATATTTGACAAATATATCTGTATATATATTTTTCATGGTTCAGAAGTCAATATAAAATTTCAATATAACACGGCAACACTTTTCACAAGATTTTACATTTTTTGAGCCAAAGCTTATTCGTGCAATCAAATTGTAGTTGCAAGACATTATGTTGCAGTAGCCCTAAAACTCCTCCAAACAACCTTGGGTACGATAGGTCCATTATATAATATGCCAGAAGTTGATGGACGTTTAGTGCATCATTATGGCGTTGTCCGATTGCATTAATATTTCCTTTGTCGACAAGTCTTACGTTTTCGCCTAAGATGAGTTGAGGCCCAGGAGAAAAAATTTTATCTTCAGCCTAAATATTTTGTAAAAAAGAAAATTATTTTCTCAATCTTTTTATCTATCTTAATTAATATTAAAAAAAATTATTATTAAAAAAAAAAAAATTAAACAATCTTTCGTTAAACTTACACCAATAATAACAACTGGACACAGCATCCCTTGTTGTTGTAAAATTTAATCAGGGCAGAGGCAATAGACATACCAAGACACAATTTCTCAACTTCTTGCATTCATTAGCTTCTTGCATTCATTAGCTTATCTAATGCTGTTTTTTTTGCTATAATGTTCATTATTTCAAACTCCTCCATGATCTAAAAAAATTTGTAGCACATATATCAATCAATGATATAGTAAATGTGAACATAGGTATTGTTTTATTACGATCTCGAGATGGAATAGGTGATCTTTGTGTTTTAAATATGGCAGAGAACACAGCATATTCCTCACTAAACAACGGGTATGTTTTTTGTTTTTTTTTGTTATTTAGGTGCCGCAAGAAGACATAACGGTCTTGTCACAGAGCACCGCGTAAGTGTTTTAAACCAAGAAATTCATGCCTTCTTCCTTACCGTGACACAAAAATGCGTCCAGAGCTCTTTCGAACCTGAATCTCCTGCTTATAAAGCAAGCGCTCTAACCATTGCACCATGGCCATTAGGGTATATTATACTCATGCATGTTCTAGTTTTGACTCATTACATTACTTTTCCTATGTATTTAAAAAACTTAAGTTGAATGGTATTATTTTTTTTGGTTAAAAAAACAGCTCTTGCTACCGAGAAAACGTTTTCTTTTCTGAAAATATTGTGTTTTTTTACCTAAATATTGTCTATTTATGTTACAAATGTATATAATAAATATTTATAATATTGATTAATTCTATCCTTTATTTATTTACTAAAGTAAAATGTTATTTGTTTTTCAAATTATTATTTTGTTTATAAGAGTTAGTTAATTTTAAAGTATACCTTATAAATATGTTGATAGCTATTATAGACCTGATATAAGTTTAGGTTCAAAAACTTTCGTAAGTCAATTGATCAAACAAGGCTCAATCGACAACAAGAAGAGTCAGAGTGGAAGGCTTCATTTTGTGGTGAAACTTATCAATTGAAAACTTTTTAGATCATTTTGCTGGCTTCACATTAATAAGCTTCCATTCCGTCATATTGTGGAAAAACTTGATAGGCCAAATTCTTCAGGAAAAGGATGGTGTGGAGCAATTGATAAACTGTTTTCTAAAGTTGATAATCTTTAAAAAATTACTAAATTTACGCCAATTCCATTTTTAGTGCCTTTAGTTAATATCAGTGAAGATTTTGTTAAGCAAATGAGCACTGACAATTTAGTTGCATGGAAGAATTAAAATGCAATATTAAAAGGAAACCTTGATCCTGAAGTAGCTGCTCTTAAACGTGGTAGATTGTCTCACAGTCGATGGCTTACATGTGGCATGAAATGCTTGCTTCTATATATGAGCAAACATGATCTAAAACCTGAGAATGCAGAGGTCTTAAAGCTCCTTGCAACTTGGGTGACACAGGTTAGTCTTCCAATGTTTTTTGAAATTAAAGTAAATCGTGGCATTAAATATGGTTCTGGTCATCTTTCATCTTTTAAAACTAATTCAACTTTGGCAGAAGCAAGATAATAGGATTAAAGAAGCCTCTAAACATTATCTAAAATGTGAATCCTCGCGGCCTCACCGCCATTTTTTACTTGTTGTTTTTTACCATTTTTTATCGCCTATTTACTTGTTGCTCTTCTCTGTTCTGATAACTCAGAACAAAGGTCATTTGCAGTCGACATTATATTAGAAGTCAGGGCTGGAAGTGAACATGGCTCTACGGATGTGAGACCTTTTAAAGTTCCACAAACAATAAACCTTGATGCTTTGGAAATTAAAGAACTTATTGATTGGAAAAAAGAAATCATTACTGAACCAATTTTCACAGCAAATTTGTCTTTAGCCCAACTCAATGCATTAAGAGTTTATATATATATATATATATATATATATATATATATATATATTTATATATACATTTATATATATATATATATATATATATATATATATATATATATATATATATATATATATATATATATATATATATATATATATATATATATATATATATATATATATATATATATATATATATATATATATATATGTATATATATACATATATATATACATATATATATATATATATATATATATATATATATATATATATATACATTTATATATATATATATATATATATATATATATATATATATATATATATATATATATATATATATATATATATATATATATATATATATATATATATATATATATATATATATATATATATATATATATATATATATATATATATATATATATATATATATATATATATAGTTAGTAACAGTTTTTTATTATCAATTTGATATTATTTGGTTAATATTACTGTATTTGTTACTTGGTTGCTTTATTTTCAAGCTTCTCAAAATTTATAAGTTCTTTTTTATTAACTTTTTAAAATTGATTTTGCAATTATGGCATTCCCACTATTTAAATAAAGGTTTGTGTATTTTTTTAGGTGTGTGTGTGTGGGGGGGGGGATGTGTAAACAACTCCAGTCTCTTTGCTAAACTTACGAAAACTTTTGAATGCATAATATGTTTTTAAAAAAAGGTTTTTTTGTTTATGTTTACATAAACAATATTCGTAGATAATTATAATAAAATTATCAAATATTGACAGGGGGCGGCCAAGACCCCTAACTGTTTTTATACATGCCTGGCAGAGTAATCTTGGGGGTCAATGATAATTTAATCTGTTTTATTACTTCTAGTTAATTTTTACTTTGTAAAATTTTACTTTGTATTAATATTTGTCTAAAACATTTTAAAAATTAAACCCTAACTTAACAAGATAAATTTTAAATAAAACCGTAATTTTAAAATTTGTTTACCGGTAGCTAAACATTAATATTTTACAAAAGTATTATTAAAATTGAATTTCCTATACCCATATATATAGGAATCCAAGCATGCTAGTCAAAATTTTGAAAATTTAAGTTTTCACTCTATATATATATATATATATATATATATATATATATATA